TTGATCTAGTTAACTCTGTGACACAATGTCTCTATCCATGGAGTGCTGCGTGGGCCATGGCTGCACTCTTGACATGTCCTGTCCTGTCCTTTGAAACGCAAACCAAGCAGGTTTCTCCTACCAACTCTAAGGCTACTGATGACAGCACTCAGACAGTACTCAGAATCATGAGTCTTACAGAAGTCTCTCCATATATTTTTGGTCTTACTTGGACATTGTACTGGAATTGATGTAGTGTGTCCAGACCTGGAGGAGCATGCAGAGTTGTTTGAATGAGTCCAGAGGAGGCTGTGAAGATGATCACAGGGCTGGACAACCTCTCCTATGAAAAAAAGCTGATAGAGTTGGTCTTGTTTAGCCTGGAGAGGAGAAGGCTCAAAAGGCCTCACTGCAGCCCTCCAGTGCTTAAATTGAGCTTATAAACAGGAGAGAGAAAGACTTTTTACATGGGTAGACAGAGATAGTAGAAAGGGTAATGGTTTTAAACTAAAAAAGGGAAGATTTATACTGGATATTAGGAGATTTCTTACTCAGAGGATAGTGAGGCAGTGGTAAAAGCTGTTCAGAGAAGCTGTAGCTGACCCATCCCTGAGAGCATTCAAGACCAGGTTGGATGGGGTCCTGTGCAGCCTCATCTAGTGGGTAGCAGCCTGCCCATGGCAGGGGGTTGGAATTGGATGGGCTTTAAGGGCTCTTCCAACCCAAGCCGTTTTGTGATTCTATGATTATTAGGATACAGTAACTCTGTCCCTTTGCATTTTGTAGTCTGCTTTGGATATAGACAGTGTTTAATTCTTGAAAACACTAAGAGGATCAGAGTCTGCAATCTGATACATTCACAGCTGTCATTTACTTCTACTGTCTTTGTTTCCTAAACTGCCATCAGACATTGCACTAACTCACTAAGGCTAGCCTTGACAACTCTCTCTCACAGACCAATACTGCTTTACTTGAACTTCCTTCACTGTAGGATTTTGGAAATTTTCATATTCTTTTATTTTGGAAGACTTAAATTCTCAAGTGAGATAAAATAGTAAATAAAACAAGCAATGAATTATAATTTTGAGAAGAGAAACAGTATCTTAAATGAGTGTCTAGCTCTGGAGGGTTATATTTGGATGCCTGTAACTAGTAGTCTAGAATTTGGACCACAAGTGTACATTCAAGTATACCAGAGTGAATTAGGAATTTATGTTTGGTCTTCAAAAAGGAATATAGCACTTAATGAAGTTTTATGCAGTCAGATGAATGAATCCATCTCATCTAATTAAGTACTTCAGTATATCATATCGCTTTCTTTTACCTGCTTCCAGGACATATTCCCTTCCCAGTTCAGATGACTGCTTCCTGTGTGCATATCTGACCTAAACCTTTTTGCAGAAGGACAGGACAGTAATACCACAGATAAATCAGTGTGTATGAGGGAAAGGGGCAAGATTTTCAGTATGGAGATAATTTGCAGTATGGAGATGATTTGCAGCTGAAGATAGCAAACTTTAGCCTTCAATCAGAAACAGATAATTTAGCTTAGTCTTTAAATTCTCAGAATACTAAACTGCACAAAATTACACACTGAAATATAAAAACTGGTCAGATGTTTTCTACTGAGATTTCAGTTCTTTCCCCTCTCAAGAAAATCTTGATTTTGGTATTTCAAGATATTTAGTAATTAATTTAAAATGTAATTAAAACACAGATTACATTTATTAATTCAGTATTTAACAAGGAAACATATGGTAGGTCTGATCCAGTATGAAGCAAAATAAATCTTTTCAGTGAAATGAAATAAAATATTTAAACTCAAATTGGTTTAAGAAAATATTCATAGGCAATTTTTCCTAGTTCATTGCCAATCCAGTAGTAGTTTGGGTTCCTTTCTACCTTATCAGCCATGCTCCCTGAAGCACTTTATTCCGCATTATGCAGTGTGGTTTTGCTCTAACCAAACTTTGCACTGTGAATCATAAGAAATATATTATGGATGCATTTCAGGAGAGATGATTTCTATGTCAAGCTTGGCTCAGATAGAAAAGAGGTCTCATAGGACAGAATATCCTCATATGGAAGAGCCCAGTGAATATTGTCCTTTTTCCAATTTAAAAGTTTCTTCTGGAACTTCCACTCTGTAAAATGTATTTATACTCCAGAATATTGTAATAATTTGGTAGAGTCAAATGGCTGATGTGACAGAACTTTATTTGCAAAAGAGTTCATTGTGAATTATTGGAGAACAACTGAAAAAAAATCACATTTAACTTCTTAGTTATTCCTTTGGCTCTAACGCTGAACAACTGCAAATGCAGAGAACAGATCCAACAGCATTATACGTGTTTTTTCTTCTTTTTGCCACAATCATTAATTAATAGTACTAATGCTGAATTTCATCTTCTAATTTTATCATTAAGTCATTCAATACCAAGCTTTAGTTTTGACTAACCTGAGTCAATCTTTGCAATGGATTGGCTTTGGTGAGATGTGAAGCTCCTACCCAGCTGCTTGTTTACTCAGCAGGATGGAATGGGGTAGGGGGAGAAAACAGAGAAAAAAACACAAGCAAAAAAGACAGGGAAATCAATTACCAGTTACCATGATGGTGAAACAGTTTTGACTTCGGGAAAATGAGTTTCATATTTTTGCAATTATTTAAAATACTGACACTTTCTGCTGTGTCCACCATGGGGTAGCCCTGTTCTCTTTTCACAATGGCTTCCCTGTTAAGTCACTCTGTCAGGTACACCATCACCAAAGGCTGTCACTTCAAAGCATAGTATTGTTTTCATATCACTTATTAATGAGTGCACAGTTCAGTGAATACATCTGGTAAAAGTCAGTATGGATTCAGCTGATATCCACTGCTCCTTGCACCTGTTCCTACAACATTTCCTTCCTCAAGTAGTTGTGCACAGAAGGACTCTTTCCCACAGTGGTCAGATATATGGATTTCCCTTAAACAGGAATCCATTGAGACCTCAAGGAAATATGAGAAGGAAATATGAGTATCCTCGCAAGGCATGACCTCATGCTTCTGCTTCATGGCAAATAAAGGTATTTCACACTTGTGTTCATTTGGAAGTGTGCATTTTAATAGTCAGATGCACTCTGCATCAGAAAATTGTGCTAGTCCATGCAGAAAAATTTAGTATGATAATCAAAAAGAATATGGATTTTTATAAAATTAAACCATTATACTGTCCTGTGAATTTAAACTTAGAAGGTGGGTGTAGACATTTAAGTACACATAATCAATGTGTTACAATAAAACTCTCTATAATGTGCTTCATACAGGCTGTGCCCTTGAATGCAGCATTACAGCTCTGTCCTGAATCTCACATGATGCTTTTTTGCTCAATATTGTTGAATGTACTTCACAAAGCAGAAAAAATCAGAAGGAATCCTTTTGTTGACCCTTGATAGGTTCTAGTGACTTGTCAAGAGCAGGTTTAGACTTAAGGTTAATGCAAGAAGAAAAATGTATGCAAAACATCTCACACGGAAGAAATACTACGTAAAGAGAAAGGAAAAATTGCAATGAAAATGAAGAGGACTGGTTGGACTCAGGGCCAAAGAGCACAGAAAGAATGGAATATAGAAAATAGAGTACATCAGAGGCAAGAAGAATGAAAGAACTTTATTTAAGAGAAAAGAGTTCTTGTCCTTAACAAACTGAATGTTATGTCTTCAGTGCCTCCATTTTTCTGAGACTGCTGCACAGACTGGTGTAAAGGTGTTTAGGTACACAAGTTTCAAAACAGAATTACATTGTGAGGCCTGGTTATATTCTTAAAGAACCTTGATTAAGGGTCAAAACTGTTGTTACAGAGGAATTAAATTTTTTGTCCCTTATTTTCTTAATATTTTAATTGATACCATGGTAACGATAGTTTGAATGAAGACAAAACCACTCATCTATTTCCCTGTAGTCCTCAAAAGGGAGAGGGACTCTGAAACAAGTGCTTATATCAACACAAGGGCTAATGAAGGGTAACACTTCATACTCCTTGCATCTTGCTGAATACACATTTCCATAATGCTTTCCCCAAATTATATCTACGTATTTCTCACTCTGGAAATCCATTCTAGCTTGTTTTCAGGATGTAGGTTATGAGATGTATTGTGGCAGTATCTAATCTGTTGCTCTCAGCAGAAAGACTTACCATCACAGGAATGACGTTGGAAAGATTTTGTTTTCACCTTGACTTTGTTTTTTCTTCTTCCAGGTGGATTTTGCTCTTGTATGTATATAGTCTAAATGGGAAGCAAGCACAGAGAGAGCTAATTTTGCAGCACTGTGAATTATTTTACTTTTTTGTTTCATTTTGCATTTGCTTATACCATTTACAAGACTGATAGCTCTGATCACTAAAGAGCTCTGAACTCTAAGAAGACAATCAAATCTGCAAGTTTCATTTTACAATCTCAATTAGAATTCAGTATTACCAATCAATTAAAGAATAAATAGAGATGTGCTGACTTATTTGGAAAATTAATGGTGTTGGCTGTGAAGGAGAGTGGTCAGAGCAGATGTCTGATGTCTGTCCTTGAGTAACTAAACCACTGAAACTTAGATTAGATTTGAGAGCAGGTATAATGTCTGAAACAAAAACATTTTCTTGTAGACTGGCTCACATTAGTCATATTCCACCATTCACTGTTTCAAGCCACAGCAATGAAGCAGTATTTTTCCAGGTGGGAGATACCTAAGCTGATTATTTTGGAAAACAAGTTGCCTGAGGATATTTTCTCACTGCTTGCATTAAAAAAAGGGACATCGCATATGATTTATGCCACAAAAAAGACACTTATCCAAGCATAAATGAATATAAATAAAGGAAACTGTTCTCTTTAGCACTATATTTTTTGGCAATATCAAAACAGTCATATGTTTCTGACAAGGGGGCCAAACCATCAAATGCTCAGGGAATGCTTTGATTAGTCCCAGTAGAAATTAGCTCAGTAAGACTTGACAAGACCTAGGAAGGAAGTGATTGTCCAAAGAAACACAAGAAATTAAAAAACAAATCAGTTTTTAATTAGGATAAAAGATATTTTACATATATTTCTCCAAAAGAAGTAGGAATCAGAAACATTTCACTGTGCTCCCAAACGGCCTGAAGGGTGAAGATAATCAAGTAGTAGGACACCTGAAATAAAATTCCAGATCTAGCAGTTATTTGATTATACAGGATGAAATATCTCCGATTTTCACAGCCCAGAGACACATCCTAGGAAGTGCCTATAGCTAGTCATTCTGTGGTTCAAGGCTGATCTTCAGTTGGTGGAAGCCTTCAGATGTAGGAGATTTGGAAAAAGCCCACCATGGCACCAAGCTGCTGCTGCTGGCTACATGCTTACCTGGGCCATAAGCTGGTGAAGCTCAAGTCTGATCACTAATAAGACAAAGCACGCAGTGACCATATACTCCCCACATTTTGCAGGTGCCTGGACTCTGGGGATTTTAAGGTGTCCCTCCGTCAGTTTAATGTGGAGAAGAGCAAGATTTGCCTTGCAGGTAAATGTCATGGATCCACTTCAAAGAATCAGGATACAGAATATCCTGAGTTGGAAGGGTCCCCTAAGGATCATCGAGTCCAAGTCATTAGATGTAGAGTTTATTCACTATGCATACAGATTACAAAACAATGAAGGTGGCTCTGGAAATAAACCAGTCTGTGAGGTGATATCAAGGAACACAGCACGGTTTTATGCACTCAGTTTAACTAAATTCTCCCTCCTATATCCCAGTGCTCTACAGATGATTGATATATCCCCAACCAACCATGCTTTTAAATAAGAAGGTGGTTGTTCCTTTTAGTAGCTGATAATAAAGCTATATAGAAACATGTCTTCTTTCTTCCTTTCTTTTTTAACTTTCATTAAGTGAATAATACTGATGTTGATTAGAAAACTGTTCCAGCAGGATTGCGTAATCAAATCTATGCATCCTGAGTAAAGAGTTTTCAATACCCAGTAGATCAGGGATTCATATACACACGTATGATCCTTTTCCCAAAACAAATTAAAAAAAATGTGCAGTTTTAAACTAGACCTATCCATTAGGCTGCACTGTCCTACCGCACTGCTTTCCATAGGATTAAGTGTGGTCTCCATCCTTGGCTGGAGTGCTGTATGATGTCTCATGAGAAATGTAGTCTGATTGAGAGATCTGATCAATACAAGAAAAGAAGAAATGTGAGCATTTAAGCATTATCTATGCTGATATACTACAGCAGCATTTTCCACTACAAATCATGGGGGTATGGATTATTTTTCTAGTTATTGATGAACATATTTTTCCCAGCAAAAACACATTTTGCTGTCAAATTCTAGTTTCAAGCAAATAAATTTATTCAGCTGTTGCTCCAAGTCATTGCTGTTTAGCAAAACTCCTTGCTAGTTGTCCAATACTCCACATATCTGCGTTACACTGATTTCAAGTAAGAGTTAAATGTTTCTCCCAGATAGAGTTGTGCAACCAAAAAAAAAAAAAAAAAAAAAAAAGTTAATCAAATGTAGGGGAACATTGGAGTGGGTGAATCAGCCACACATAATTGAATTCTACTTTAAAGTTTGCTAGGGCTGCTGACAGCAGTGTCCCCATTTTCCTACAGCTGTGGCTCAGCAGACTCTTGGTACTTCAGTGCCACAGACACTTTTATAAGAACCACACTGAATTTAGGATGTTTAAAGTAACTTCTCAGTGTATAAAGAAACCTCCTAATGGGTTTCAAAGGGATACTGAGTTTATTTTATTTTGAAAAAAAGACACTTCAGAAATAGAAGTAAGTTATGAACATGTCATCTGAAAATTACGGGGCTTTCTTGCTCATAAAACAAAGAAGCATCGTTTCCATGCCCTGAATTTAAAGTAAGACATCTGTCTATTGTGCCTTGAGTCCAGACTGTGAATAAAAGAAGATAATTTTCCTCAGTGCAAATATTTAATAAACAAAACTGTATAAACAGAATTGCTAATGGAGATCCTGCAGAAATCACGAGCAATGAACTGAACACAAATCAATGCTTAAAAGTGACTTCTTTTTCCTTGGAAAGCATTAGGTGAAAAAACACCAGCAGCACTTACCAGCAGGCAGGTGCTCTAATCGCGTGGGGATAGGGGCTGTCACCCCAGCTGCGGGCTCCTGGTGCTGCCAGTGCCCACCCATCCCTACTCAGCCAGCACCACTTCAGCCATCAGACTCATTTTTGCCTTTTGTTAGTGCTGTAGAAATAAAATAGGTGGTCCCTCAGAATGCTGGATTAATAAAACCGGTAACTTTGGAAGCCTCAAAGTACCTTTTTTATACGGATTTTCAGTGGCCAATACTGTATAGAAGACTGTATATTTTAGCTCTTCCTCATCTCCTTCTTACTAGCAAAGATAGCTTTTCCTAGTCAGATAGGTTAATTTATTTTCTTAGCTAGATACAAACCTTCTCTAAAAACTTTTGATTAGAAGCCAGTGCAACTTAGAGCTGCAAAAAATCATTGCATCAGTTCTATCCCACAAACAGCACAGGGGCCAACTGACAATGAAACACAGTACAGAGCTTTCAACACCCTGACCTTCATGTAAGATCTTGTTTATTCCTGCTCTGCTGTGTTGCCATGATCACTCCTGTTGTTTTCCAGTCCAAGAGGAGAGAGCAGCAAGCTGTTCCCTGCCTCCATACCCACATAGCTCTGCATTTACACTGGGAATAAAAAACACACATTAAACCATGATGGGATGCTGATTTTTTTTTTTTTTTTTTTTTTTTTTTTTAAGTGCATTCATAATATCTACATCTGCTTTTATCTGGCTTGTATATATGAAAGGGTGTGAGGAGAAGGATCAGCCGTGGTTATGTGTCACAAAATTACCTATCCTCAGTGAGATGAAAATGCTGCTCTTTTTCTACATGTCCATCAGCATTCGTTAATACAGTCAGTCTTCTTCCTGCTTTATGAGGATGCATTGCCTGATCTTTTGGTTAAAAGGGTAACACAGGTGGTGCTGATCCTCTGCTCCCTGTCTGATGTACTCCTGAGCCCTGTACCAGCAGATTCCTAAATGCATGCAGCCAGTGAGATGTTTATGGTAAGGCTGCACAATGACAGGCTCTGAAGAGGAGCTCCCGTGCTTGAAGCCATGTGCCAAAAGCACACACTATAGTCCAACTGTTCTTCTGTGAGCAAGAAGAGGTATATCAACTATGATACAAGGATACTAACAAGGTTGATATGCAGCTACAATCCTAATGGGATTTGGAAAAAACAAAAAACAAACAAACAAAAAAATGCAACCAAAAACCCCAACATATCTCAAAAACTGGAGGAGATCATTATAATTTGTTTTAAATATTATTTGCCTTTGTTAATGTTAAAAAAAAATCTTTTGAAGAGAGGCTGAAACATTGTTCTATTGACAACCATGACCCATTCTTTGTAGTTTTTCTTGTTTCTTGGCTAAAATTGCATAGGAAGAAGTAGTGAAGATACTGCATATTTTCAATTAAAGTGAACTGAAGCATGGGTTAAAAAACACAGAACTTATAAGATCTTTGGAAAATGTTTTGTCAGCATTTTCTGTCTTATTTGAGAGAGCTGCTCAAAGACAGAGGCAAACTTCTCCTAACACAATGACATTTTAGTATTCTTACATATGTTTCATCAATTTTCATGTGATTTTATCACATTTATAGCTCTCAATATCAAATTCATCCAGAAGTAGGTGGTGCACTGCCATGAAGACAATAAAATTCATAGCTTTTTAAAGCAGCTAAAGTAGTTAAAAGGTTTCTGAATACCTTTAAGCAGATTCCTCACTCAGCCACTTTGCATTTTATGGGACTTTGAATATTATGGGTAAGTCATCTTAGTAGCACTTCTTATATTCAGGGAGAGTAGAAGGCAACAACCTGTCACTTTGTAGAGCATTTAAAAGTAAAAGGAATGATATTGACCCTGATACAGGTACATCTTTTTATTTATACAGCGGCTTATTTAAATCACACTCTTTTCATCAAGTTTTTGTCACTAAAGCTGATCAAAAGTCTAAGCCCTGGACATAAGCAGTGAAATCTGATGAGGAAGAACTCCATTATAAACATTTTATAACTGAAAAATTCTAAAACAGTTACTAAATTAGAAAGACAAAACATATTGCAGAAAGAAAGAAAGTCTCACTTCAATTTTGAGTAACAAATTTCATAAGAAATTCTAATAGCATAGTATGGCTGCAGGGAACAAGAATGTAGTCAAATGAGGTAATTGTTCAGAGATATAATTTTTAGGGAGATTTTGATTAATTAATGTAGTTGGAGGAAAGAAAAAATATTGCTTGATTTATTAAGTATTAATTCAGTGACCTTTCCCCATTCATTTCTATCAAACATCTGCAATAGTTACGTTATCGTGGTTTCTCATTCTTGATTATCTCATTTAATTATCTTTGATATTATCATGCTATTGAACTCCTATGTCACTTATTTTGTAACTATCTATGATGTAGGGTACTTTTTTTTTTTTAATAGTTTCTCAAAATGAGCTATTATTTTTAAGAGATCTATCCATTAGACAGCTTCCCAGCAGTACTACTTGCTTACTATGGTAGATGGTCTGTGCTCTGGTAGCGTTTTCAACCTGATGTCATCTATTCTAACACTGTGTAATGCCAAAATAGTCCAGATTTCTATTCCTAAAACTCAAATGTGCTATTGATTCTTTTAGAGTTAAGTATCTAAAATGTTATCCAAATAGTATAATATATCTAAAGATTCTGTCAGCCCATCAGTTTTTCTTAAATCATCTCCACTTGCCTAGGAGAAGGAGAAAAAGAAGAAAAATGAGAAAGGGAAGCTTGCTGAATCTTCACATGAAAGTAAGGAGGAAAAAAATCAATGATCATATTCCACATTATTTGATGTGTTACCCTCTTTGAAGAGTTAAGAAGAGGATTTTTATTTTTTTTTCTGTTTAAATCTTTCAGAATATTTTCTATCAGCTGTGACAACCACTGTATCCTGAATCCATTAGTATCCCATTAGGGGGAATGGTGGACATAGGAGAAAAAAAGAAAGAGACATCTCTGAATGTTGCTACCTATATGAGAGGTTTGAATCAATAGTTTTTTGCACAAAGCTTACCAAGTTAATTCTGCTTTGCATGTGAATTGTACGTAGAATCTCTGAGAATCCATGCATGGATTCTGAACCTGAACACAGCAGGAAGGATCTCTCAATCTTTTGTCAGAGCATGAAGTATAACTATGTGGTGAATGTTTGGACCATTTGAGTGACCACCTGCAAAAAGCCCATACTTCTAACTTTAATGTGAAGGAAGCAAAATTTTCAAATATCCAAGCCCCTGTTGGGACAGTGGGCAAAGTTCTCCCTTGTAGCTTTCACCCTCTACTTCATACTCTTTTTCCATCTATTTCAATCAAGGTACAAGAAAAGGAAGTTCTCATTCCTTCCAGCTTTTTGAGGGCTCCCTTTGAAATTAAGGGATTCTAGAAACTACAATTCTAGTCTTACAAAGATGTATTTTGTCACTGGCACCATGAAGGCGTATAATAAAGGAATGTTACAAATTTTCTGACTTCAGTTAATCAAGACAAGTAAACATTGTATGGTGCTACTTACTAGAACTTTTATAATCAAAGTTCTTTGGCTCTGCTCCACTCCATACAGTTAGAGGTACTTTCATTGGATTCTATCTGCACATTATTCAGAATTTCCAAGCAAAGTGTTCTGGTATGCTTTGAAACACTGTTGGAAGAAAGTTAGCAGAAAAGATAGCTAAGCAATACTTTAAAACAAACAGACAAACAAACAAAAACCTAGGAATAATGTACATTACCTACAGTAACAACTAGCAATAAGGTAGCATCTAGAAACAATTATAGGAGAAAAAAGTGGGGCACGTGGTTTGAAGCCCTGTATTCCATAGTGTTTATATTAATGTTTATATTTCCATAGAAATTGTCTTAATAAAATTTTCTCCTCTCCCAGGCTACACATACCTATCATAAAATCAGAGGACTGCCACAGTGCTCTACTCAGCCTGTTTCTCAGCATTTTAGTGACCTCTGGAGAGAAAGGATCCTCATGCGCTAGCCCATCTAATGATGGTTATGAACCCTCAATGCTGTACAGCTGTGAGAAAGGCAAATGTTATCCTAGAATATTTCAGCTGGGATACCTCAGCAGAAATAAGGGAGATATTAAAATACCTTCTACTAGTGCAAACCTCGTTTACTGCAACTGATTGTGATTGCTTGCAGGCATTAAAGGACAGAGTGAGCTCTCAACAGATGCAGAAGAGCTGTGAGGTGATCTTGATTATGTAAAGAAGGAAATAAACAGAGGCAGGGGCTTAGTCCCTCAAAAGTAAAGATTACACCCTGCAAATAACTTGGAGAAATAAACACGAGGGAGGAAACAAAAAATATTAGATCAGATACTTCTACATTTGACCAAATATTTTAAGCAGATGTAAATAAGTGTAGATGAGAATTTTAAAGTTGTAATTAAATAAGCCTTTAGAACAGTCCTCCAGTAGTACCAGGGAGTGAGCTCCATTCCCTGGGTACTGGTTCTGTCAGATATTGATGTGGTTCCTTTGAAGACGTCATATTGTTTTTCTGCCTCTGCTATTCTTAAAAGCTCTCATTTTAATTTATTTTTTAAGCTAACACCATCCTTTATGGCATTTGGCAGATCTGGCCCCAACTGCTGGCTCCTGATGTTCCCATTAACCAGTTGCTGAACTAGTTTAGAGCTCTCCTTTCAACCCTCAGCTCCACCAGTCTTTTTCCAATTCATTTCAAATCCGATATACTCAAAAATTCCTATTCATTTAATGTAACGGGCCTATAGACCAATCTAGACAAAAGAGATGTGTTTCAGCTTTGCCTAGAGAAGTTGTTATGGTATGAAAGAAGTGTGTCAGGTCAATGCTGCAAGGGATAACTGGGCAAGAAGCCAGGTAAGCTCTGAGATGAAGTATGGTCTTTTAAAACTTGGCCAAACTTGGAGATTGAATCAGATAACTCAGGATACAGTTTCTAGTCTACTTCATATGAAAAAGGATAGATACAAACTACAAAAGTTCTTTGGCAACTCACAAAGTAACTTTCAAACTCGTATTATTTTCTATGCTTACATTCAGATTTTGGAATCATCCAGAATCATTTTTATTCTTTTTGGAAGGGTGTCTCAGACATAAATGAGAACCTAAGAAATAGTTTGTATCATTTCAGAGGCACAAGAATGATCTTTTTTTAAAGGAAGGAATTTTCTGCTTCCATGAAGAGATACATTAAATTTCTGTTCTTTAATTATGCTTACAATCTGCAACTACAGGGTTCATAATCATTAGCAGACTGGTTATTTAATGCTGAGCATATCCCTAAATGAGGAAATAAAACAACAGGAGCATTCTTACGTTTCACTAATGATTGATTATTTAGCCTTCATAATATGGTCGCCTGGTAAATTACCTGGTGCTTTGACCTTTTTGCTGGAATAAAGTACCTTTTGCTCTTGCTTTAACAAAAAAAAAAAAAAAAAAAAAAAAAAAAAAAAAAGATTGGGAAGGTCATAAACTTGTTTGCATGTATTTTATTTGAATTATGCTAAGATCTAAATAAGGGGAAGTATAGAAAGAAGATTTACCTGTTTTCACTGGCAGTAAAGTATGGTTGTGCAAAAAGATACCATTTTAGAACAGATTTCAACTGCAGCATATTGAATTACTTCCATTCTATTTGGGTGACAGTAGTTTGACAGTAGTTTAACATTTGGTGATGAAACTGAAATCAATACCACTCCTCTAATGTGTCCCTGATACCAAAAGAGTACCTTGACCTAAACAAAAAATAAGTATGTATAGAACAAGATGGGGAAAAAAAAGCAAGAGAAGAAACCAAGAAGAAAATGAAAGGAATAATAAAATATTTATGCGGATACTAAAATAAAGATATCAAATTTAAATAATACACTATTGTACTTTTTGTTCATTCAGGACAACAATAAGTGTATCTGCTTACTTTGAAATACAAGATTGAGAGCCAATTCTTGGCTCTTTAATAACTATATTTCTTCCTTCCTATTCTTCTTGATGTTATATTGAAATAGGAATATTCTTTTGAAGCTGAAAAACACGTCAATTGTAAACCATCAACTTAATAATCATAATTTTGTCTGAAATGTTTTTTCTCCTCTGCTCCACACAACCTCTGACATTACCAGTCTATTATTTCACTTTGCTCACTTATGCAATCGACTAAACAATCTAATGCCATCAATTTTTTTCCTACCTAGGTGGTATGTCAGCCAATATCTCATTTTTTTTTTTCCCCCCTAGAGTTTTTCATAAAACTGTAGGTGTGATAGAAACAATGAAAATGCCACAAACTCACAATAATAACAGAAAAAATGGCAGAAGTAATCAGAAGTATAGTCCCTCAAAATACTTCAGATGTATTTTCTGAAATTGATTGTGCTGCAGTTTGCCTTCTTCCCCTGTGATACGTAGCATATCTGGATAGTTTCTCTGTGGAATTTTGAATATAGCATCCATCAGCATAAGTGGCTAGACATTGATTTTTATTAAGGTTTTTCGTACCTTTAAGAGAAATATGGCCAGTAAACATCTTTCACAAATCTAAGCTAGTATTCTTATGTTAGGTAAAGAAAAGCCATGACTTAGAGTGATTTTACTGGAGAAGGCCTCAATGAACTGTTCATTGAGGTCACACTCATTGCTAACATTGTGTGACAAAATTCTTGAAATCAACCTTTCCTAAGTTATGTATTAGCACTTAAATTTTTCAAATGCACCATTTAACAGTCTCTGATTAGCAACATTTATATATTGAATTTCCAGTTTTGCAAACAAAACCCCCACAAATGAATCTATTGAGTTACGCGGAGCAACTTTTAATCTACTGCTAGAGAAAAGGATGATTCATCCTGAAATTGGAGAGTTGCTCATCTAGTCTTTTTGTTAAAAGCTTTGAATCATCCCGCACCTGCAAACAAGCAAAACAAACAAACAACAAAATAGGCCTAAGAACAGAACAAGGGCAGAGCACAGTCTGGTTTCACTTGGGTTTCATATGAACTATGAATTCAAACACTTCCAAGACAGCTATGATGTTACTATCTGCAAGTGAAAATGGTGGTGCAGAGACATGGTTAGCTCACTTGTAGCTGCAGTTAAAGTTCAGAGTGTATTTTCTGCTTGACTTAGACGAACTGTGGTTGTACCTAAATGGTATTATCAGTAAGTGATACTAGGCATATGAATAAAGAATAGCAGTGAAGGTACAACAGCACTGGTTTTATTTTATGCAAAAACATGACCAGAAAGTAAATTCTCCATGGGAATCAGGAAAACATCTTGGTTTCTGCAGCAAGCTAGATCTAGCTTTGCTGCTAATATCACTTGTGCTAACTGAAAATACATGTTTCATGATTTCTGCTTATACAAGCAGTAATCACAGCTTTATCCAGGCATACAGATGTATCCTGCATGTGTCATTCCCACTGTGGCAAAAGCATGGCTTATTTGACCATATTTGTTTGTTAATGGAGACTAGAGAGTAAGTCATGTTTAAGGAAATGATTTTTCAGAAATACAGGCAAACATCAGCAGTGAAACTGGCCTGGGCAATACCTTTGCGTTATTCACAGAATCTTGTATCCTTAGTCTTAACACTAAGTTCGTCAGGACTCTGTTACTCTGCTTATTTTCAAGGCTGCGACTGTGGTGACCCTGAACACTAGTTGCTGGCTCACCACCCAGCAGGAGGCACAGTGTTTGATCACTTCCAAACAACACTGCAACTTCAAGAAAGGGCTGTGGGCCATCTATCTCTGTCCTTTCACCTGTGAACCTCAAAGAAAGCTCTTTCCCCAGGGAGCCCATGAGCAGCTGACTTGTGAGCACCTCAGGCTTCAAAACACAGGAACAACGCAGAATTTCATGCATTCAGACTACATCATCTATTTACCTTACACTATCAGAATTAACTCAATTTATATAGCTAATTGAATGTAACAGCCTCTTTGACTTCTAATTTGTCCTACTGCGAGACCCAGTGCTCTAGGTGGCATTTACTAAATAGTCTCCTTTTTGAAGCTATAATGTCCAGCTTCTTCCAAGCACATTAAAGTGTTAATTCAAGGGTGTGACTGTGTTTTTCCATGACATTTTTTTCCAAAACTTTTTTTAAATAGGGAAACAATGAATGAATGTTGCCTTACCTCCACTTCTTGGCTTTGTAATGCAAATTACTTGAAATTCTCAAGCTTCCTCACTTCTTTCTTTTATATCAGTTGGAAGGAAAAAAATAAGGAAGCATCTTTCCATCCCAAATTACTGATGACAGACCTATCTGCACAAAGTGCAGTTCTCTATCTGGGAAAGTGTTCTGGTATTCATATTCTGGCACTCATCCCACTACTCTTTTAAAGACAACCATGACCCTACCCAAATGGGAGATGCAGCCAGGTTACACAAGAGCAGTGCTACCATAGAGGAGCAGTCACTGTCTCTATTACTGTGGATAAACCATCAGGCACTACTTCAGCAAAGTGGTAACACATTGGTTTAAAATAGTATGTTTAAATCTCTATGGATCCTGAAAGATATCCACATGTTCTTTTGTTGACCAACCCAGCACTGTACTTCTGTTTTATATTTTGTATTTTGTTTATATTTTACATCAGTCTTCACAATTCCTTACTAAACTTTCTGATTTATTAGTTCAACCTTTCTTTTCCAAGTACAGTTCTCATAGCAGCAGTGAGCATTCAGATAGCCCCGAAATAAACAAACAAACAAACAAACAAAGCATTAAAAAAAAATCATTACCTACTTTTTTAGTATGTTTGTGTTAAACGTTTTCTGAAAACTCCAAACTGAAAAGCAATTATTTTGTTCCAATAACATGATTAGAACAAAGAGCCAACATAAATGCCTTGCAATGTAACATCCTATTACACCTGAAGGACTGTTTTACTGTTTGAATACGCATAACACTGTAATATCATGGAAAGCATAGCAGTGACAACAGAGAACTAAAGTCCTACACTGCATCAAGTGAGGATCTGCAAATTCAGATTTTTTGTGCCAAAATAATTTCAAAGTATGAGTTACCAGTGTACTTTCATTCTACATCTGATTTTAGACATAATACTAAACAATTCCTTGAAGAAACTCCCCCTCCCATCACCAGCAAACCTGTGATCATAGGCTGGAATTGGTCCGACATTCCTCTGCAAATCTAACAAGATGGTTAATTGCTGGAAACAAATCCATCATAAATACATGGCAGAAACCTTTCTGGACTGGAAAGAAGCTGTTATTAAATGCAACATTAGGGGTTTCTAATTCCTTCCTTTTTTTTTGTGTTCCACTAAGTTCACGGCCAGAAGATCTGAATTACTGTTAATGAAGGAGATTTACGACATGCATTTACACACAACCTGTAATTTACATTGATACTTTTCTTTCCTCCGGTAAACTCACAGCTGTTCTTTTATCCAGAACCTACAAGGCAATGAGAATAACTAACTTCATGAGGCTCAGAAACCCCTGTGTGCTTTCAGATGAGATTCTTGATTATTATTTGAGATATTTGAAAACTGTAAGCAGCAGGGGCAAAATAATTACCAGCAGCTGAGCTATATTTGTTTATCTCTGCTCACCCAGCATTTAGATCACTTTCTCAGCAAGGGTCTGACAAATGGTTTCTCTGTCCATATGGGTCAAGACAATATCCTACACTTCTTTCATCTTCTCTAAACACATACTACCTTTAGATTTCCAAACCAAAAGAGAGACTAGAGTTGTTAGGATCCTAGGTGGCAAATCTTTCCTGGTGAGACTTTGTAGCCCTTGGTTCTTGGAACGTCATCACATGGTCTGTTCTTTTTCTTTTCCCCCAAGTCTGCATGAATGTATTTTATTCAAGGCATAAAAACTGCAAAATTAGCCTTAAAAAGAGTTTATTAGTTGCCAATAAGAGCAGAAAGACTTGAGCAGAAAACCAGAGACAGCTGAAGTGCGTAGGTATACATGCTAAACAAGCTCAGGTACGCTTACTAAAACTCTAAGTACACCAGCATTACTGAGTGCGACTCTGAAAGAACTTTCCAGCACTTATTTTCCTCAGGGCATTCAGGTTAACTGCTAATCAGTAGCAACTTCACACCAGTCAGGCAAAGAAAAGCTCCTGAATTGATTCAAGTAGACCAGCTAATTTCTGAGAAAACAGCCAGCTCTATCTGTTGAGAGGTTTATAGCCTACAGCCCTGTTCAGGGTTCAGTGGGATTTGTTAGGAAAAAAAGCAATGAAACATTTGCCTAAGGCATAGGATAGCACAGGAGTACCAGTTCTTCCACCTAGATTAATGACAAAACTCCACCATGTGGGAGCACTTCATCCCAAAGGAAAACCTTAATAACCTTAAAAATTTGAAATAGTAAGATATCATTACTTCTGTGCTTTGCATTTACAGATACAGTGCACAGAACTGCTCAAAGGGAAAGTTCCTTCAGTTTGAGCTGGTTTTCAAGTTTAAAAGAAATTGAACAGCCTTTGTATTTATGCTCAGAAACTCCTAGGGTATACAGAAGTTTTGAGGTTTCACATGCCTTGTGTCAGTACTAAAACTTATTTTTAATCAAGAAAGCTGGGAAATTCTCAGTCTTGTTTTGGTATTGTGCAGATTTGTCATGTAGGGGTGTGAGAAAGGCTTATTGCTTAAGGTAGAAATGAGAGTAAACATTTTCACTGAATGGAATCCTGTTTGATTATTGAAGTATTAAATTAATTTCTCTTGGTGGATTAGGGACAGAACAATTCTTTCTTTACTAGGAGAATCCTCGAACAAAAGCCAACATTTTAAAAAATAAATGTATGTAAGAATTGCCCCAGAAGGCAACCAGCCATAAAAAAACAGTTCTTCCTAGAAAAGTGATAGAAGATATTAACAAAACTATTAAAAAAAAAAAAGGGTTAAGATATCCAAACTTCTTATCTAACTCCATGTTGGTCTATTATAAAATATTTGACTTAACCATACTGGTAGTAGAGATTTTCCTTTCTAAAAATCTGGATTTCCTCATGCTACACACATTTTAAGGCAAATTATATGACCGTATTTTCCTCCCTTTTTACTTATTAAAGGGAAAATTGCTTAACTGTAACTATATATAGAGAAAAGGCCCTCTTGATAAGTTTTATGACCAGCTGAGAATGCTCTGTTCTGGTGCACTTAGGATTTCTGTGTGGGCAGTGGTCCCATTATGGTCACAAATATTTGGTTATCAATCCAGAAGTCTCCGGGATGCTTAAGACCATCTCTTCCTTTTTCTGTGCTGTGAACATGCATGGCTTTCTTCAATGCTCCTAGCAGAAGGGGAACTTTAGCTACTTTGCAAAATTGGTCCTTCAGTGATAGTTCTTACTTGCTCTGCTTTATCTTTGTTTTACTTATGTATTTCCTGAGTACTTTTACAGCTATCAAGTCTATCTTTTTTTGGGGGGGATCAATGTCAGCTTCATCAAGTATCTTCAGTGATGGCAGGCTGCTACAAAATTGTATGGACAGTATAAACTCAGTCTTTGAAGAGAAAGAAAACATTTTTCATTCTCTCAATGTCATCCTAAGGAGATGCAGGGAAGTTTTTTATTCTAGCAAGAATTGGTTTAGAAAATAATGAAATACACACCACATATTTTTGCCCATCTGGGGCTTTAGTCAAGATTTGCTGAAGTTAGAGAGAAAATCTTTCCACTGAGCATTCTTAAACAGAATTTTTTTTCAAGAACAGTGTTATTGCTTTCAAAAATCTAAACACTTTCCATCTTCTCCCTCTCTTCTGATGGATGCAGTGAAAGATATAGCTTTACTTAGCTGAAACCCGATGAATTTAAAACCCGACAAAAATGGGGTTTTAATGGGAGATGAAAAGAGAAAGAAAAATCAGAGAAGGTAAAACATTGTGGGAGTGAAATGACTGCAGCTCCTTTAAAAGTGATTGCTTTTGTTCTTTGCTCAGTTCAGAAGCAACATGAAGCATGGGAATAAGAATTTCTGAGACTAGCTACAAAATAGTAAAAAGTTAATATGGTGATCAATTGGGTTTCTTATCTATAAAGCAGAGATCAGGCCAAAGGCAAAAGGCTGCTACACATCAGCCTTCCCAAGGGTACTGTATTGTCCTTCCCAAGGGTATTGTATTATCACCTGCTCTAGTAGCAGCTAATTCTCTGAAATTCTTTACTGTTTTTCTAAAATACATAATTTCCAGATATTAAGATGCCAAACAATCTGAGCATTGACAGAGTAAGAGAGTAAGTTCATAACACTGAAGAAAATGAATATATTGATGTCTTTCCTTCCACCACCAGTCCAGACCAGAGACAGTAGATATATATATATATATTAAAATAAATGTCCAAACTTCTAAGCATTATATTTTGAGCAGATCAGCCTGGGTTAGTACTTGTGAAAGTCAATCATGCCTCTCTCCATTCTGTCTCTGGTAAGACCTTTCATTATCTGCACTCAGTTTCCTGACTAAGATAGTATTCAATTTCAGTTATATTCAAGCCATTAGTATGTCATAAAAATTTACATAAGCCTCAATTACATCCACAGTACATTAATTTATAGGGTGAAGTAATGGATACACTGTTTCTAATGGAACAAGGTAAAGTAATACATAGCAGAGAAATCAAAAGAAGTCACTCAGCTCAGTGACTGAAAGTGTCCCTGTGGATTTGGAGGCCAGATGCTTCTTCTGTAGCCATTCTCAAGTTGCTAACTGCATTTGGAAGAGATGATTTCTTTCATGTGCATATGGGCAGTGTCCACAGGTTCAAGCCATGTGACTTGGCTGACAAAGATACTGAGTTCTATAACCACAAGGAATCATATTTCTTACATTAGTGCATGCTTTGTTATATCCTTGAGTGATATTGCTAGTGATGCTGAAGCTGGTCAGTGAGGAATGCGTGGTAATGTGCACTAGACCTGAGGAGAGATTTGCACAGATAGAAGCAGTTATGCTGAGGGACAGCCCTTTCTCTATCAGGCACTATGACCTACTCCATCAGAAGTCTCTAAGACCTGGGATCTGCTATGGTTGCCTTGCCCAGATGAATGGGGGAGGTAGGGACTCACCACTGAGTGAAGGTCATGTGTTTCTCCCAGTCCAAAAGTCAAACTTCTAATTCCTTGGTGCAACTGATGCATCATGATCCCCATACTGACGTCAGAAAGGGTAAAAGTTCTGCATGCATACCAGGGCCAGTCCCAATGATCTCAGAGTCCCCTAGGAGATGTAGTCCAGGAGCAATACTCTATTTCACAAGAAAGATGGTACCAGTGAGCTTGCTGTTCCACATCTTCCAGCTGTGGAATAGCATGAGTGTAGGACCAAATTGGTTTTGACTGCTTTGGGAATATAATGGGAGCATGTTGTTCCTACTCATTCTGGAGATGTTGCAGGTAGAGCCCTTTCCTACATTCCCTGGGTAGTGTAATTTGCCTTAGCATGAACTGTGTAGCCCATCTTCCTGACAAAACACGGTCTGTGATAATAATTCACTGTTTGTTTTACTGACTTCACACTGCAAAAACACTGATTCCTCATTTGTGCTCGGAAAATATATAGCAGCTTAATGAGACACCTACAAATATGTACCGTTCTTGAGATGCTCTGATAACTTCTTGGAGGCATTTGGGCCTTGAAAAACAAACCACAAGTTCTCTCACAAAAAGAAAAAACTCTGCGTTCTTATTGTCACTTTATTTGTAGAATTTCAAAATCACTTGGTTAAAATTGTAGCCTTCATAAAAGACTGATAAATAGCTGCAAGTCAGGTTTTAAACACTGATCTGTGACACCTTTAATCTCTGAGTTACTTTACCAGATTTGAAAGACTGGTTACTCTGGTCTGCCCAATACTACAACCAAAACACATGAAATTTTTTTTTAGCTATTACTGTTGAGGATAGTAATGAAGGTGAATGCAGAATATTGAACATGACTGCAGGGCAGAGGAAGGGTCAAAAGACATAACAAATTGAAGTTTATTTCTAAAACTACATGTGTGTAATGCCACATGGATTAACACTGTATTGTTCTGTAGCAAATCATGAAAGATAATCATTAACTGTGAAAGAGCATTTGTATAAATTTTCCTTGTGTCTGGGGCTTCCAGGATGTTATATTTCATCTTTTTCCCACAATTTATACACTGTCTTTCCCCAGGTTACTGACAGAGGCAGATTCTTAAAAAGGTATTTAAATGGCATTTGACTTACTACCTACTGCCACAGGTAGAAAGAAGTCGCAAAGAGAATAAGATAGTTTACACTTATAAGAATAGTATACCCCAGAAACAGTGAAGCTGGAGAGTATTTAATGGAAACAGTTTTTCCTTGTACAAGCAGTACTATAGCTATAACAGGATGCAATTATCATACAAACTCATCTTTGTGGTTTTCCAGGCTGCTCCATCAACATTTTCTCAGTGTGTCATTTATTAATATTTCCTATTAAAATGCACCCTGACAACATTTGCAGAATCCTTTTTCAAGATACATTGTTTTGGATTTTGAAGATTGAGATTTCAGGTATAAAAATACGTAATAACAGGCTGCTTCACAAGTCTTTCAAAACCCTTGGTTTTTCTTCACAAAATTGACCATGGTAACAGAGGCAGAGAAAAAAAATCAAACACAAAAAAAACTTCAACCAGAATGGAACAGAATAGTGTTGAAATGTTAAATTCTTGAGCTTTTATTCACCATTAACTCCACATGAGCATATTTCATTGCTGAGTTAAATAAATAAACATTAGTTGGCTAACATATATAATTCATTGGGCTCCAGCTTTCTTGGGCTCTTATTTTAAAATATTTTTATTCTTTTGTGGTTACGACGAAAAAAGCAGGAAACACAAATAGCTGTCATATGTGACTACTGTATTTTGTATACTGTTTGATGTAAATAGCTAAAAGGAGAGTTTCTTGTTGCACAAGTGTTGCTGAGAAAGAAAAGTGCTGAGCTTTGAAGTGGGTCAGTTTATCTTCACAGCACTCAGCAGGCATTCACTTAGTTTGTTGTGTTTACTTTCAAGAGAATAAAAACAGCAGCAAAGCTACAAAGGCATATTGCTGTTTATAGAAAATTGCTAAGGGGAAAGCAGAGGGTGGCTTTTTACCAGCGTACAAAGTTCAATAGCCTGTGTCTTTTCACCTGTGGAAATCCTCAGCCCATATCTATTGGCTCATTTCCATGGGAACTTAAAATTTTTAATCGGGATAGTTCTCCTGGGCTTGGAGTCTTAATTCTCCTTTTCCTCTGGTTATTCATAACATAAAGTACATCCCCAGTCCTTTTAATGGTAACTAGTGGCCTGAAGGCAGCTGCTCTAAGTCCTCAGCTCTTCAGGAACATTGCCTTCTGTTGTTAATGGCAAACTTTAAAGATAACTCTCTATGTTTACTTATGTCTATGGATAGTTTCCTATCATTATTCCACAGCCTATGTTTCATATACTCTGGGTTCTCTTGTTCAAGAATGATGAGGAACTTCTGGAGGGAGTCCAGCAGAGGGCCACCAAGATGATGAGGGACCTAGAGCATCTCCTGTATGAGGAATGGCTGAGAGACCTGGGACTGTTCAACTTGGAGAAGGCTGAGAGGGGATCTTATCAACACTTATATATTTATGTATATATATATGTCTAAGGGAGAGTGCAGGAGTGGAGGGAGGGGGAGGCAAGTGGATGGGGCCAGGTTCTTTTCAGTGGTGCACAGTGACAGAACTAAGGGTAATGGACAAAAACTGGAGCATAGGAAGTTTCATACGAACATTTGGAAGAACTGAGGGTAGCAGAGCACTGGAACAACCTGCACAAAGAAGTTGTGAAGTTCTGTGTTATTGAACTTGAAAGTCCAAGCTCACTATAGAAATGCCCTTTGCTTCATTTTATGGTCTTCTACTTCTCAGAAAAGTAAGGATGGAGAAATTAAAAGTCAAGATATTTCTCATGGAAGATTTTCCCATAAAAAACTGAATCAGATTAAATTGTCTGGTTCCTGAACCCACACAGATGAGATTGGAATAGTGTTTCAGTACTCAGTTTTCTTCAATATATTTGGCCAATTAGTGAAAGAGAATGATTGATGAAATACACAAAATACTACTACACTGTATTGTATAGTATCTCTGTATCAAGAAAATTATAAAGGTCAGGTTACTAGTAAAAAGAAGCAACTCCTACCAATCAAGATTTTGCAGAAATATCCTGAGCAAGGGCCATCCATTTAAATTGGAATTATATGGAAAATATAACTAATTAGATAATTAAGTATTCTATACTACCAAGAGAATATACTATGGCTAATCACCCTGCGTCTTTTCTCCTTTTTTTTCCCCTTTCCAATTGTAATAAGCTCTTAACAAATATTTAAAATTTCACCTTAAAGGAATTTTTATTCTAGCACTTCATTGTTTAAAATTTATTTATGTGAATGGCATTTACAGGTAGCCTAACATAGAACTGCTGTTGTAGACAAACTGAAAACACACCAATATTTGCACGATGATAACTGTGACCATACTGGGGATGAAAAGAAGTAATCATCTCGCTGGTTAAAGAATGATACTTAGTAATGAACAAAGTCAGAAGCTAAACTAGCATATTTACTTCTGCATCCCATAGTGACTAGGGAGATAACTACCTTCTGCTGATGAAGTAATCTCCTAAGGGAATGAGCTGCTGCTCTGAAACAACTGATTTTTTCTTATCTGACACTCAGCAGCATGCCTTCCCTCTTGGTCTATGATCTCCCTGTTTGTATTATATACAAGTTGTGATAAACAGATTATGCTGCTGAATATTCCTCAGTTTCAGAGAGCAAAACTCAGGCTCTGGCATAGGTTTAAGCTGGAAAGATAAGGAAAGTCACATGCAAATTAAAAGTTTGTGTCTTTCAAGATAATTGGCTTGCTGCCAATAAAATTGACTAAATTTGAGTAGGCTTGCTCAGTAAGTTCAGATATAGAAAGCAAGGCCCTAACAATGTGAAAAAAGTTTACTATTTTTAATATTTCAAATTTGTGTTGATAGACCATCTTGATGTTAAAAGTCATAGTCAATGTTTTTTTTCAAAATAAAATTGATTTTCAGACGAGAAGGTGAAAAAAGGTTTTTTTGCGTTGTCTGAGATTATGCTTAATTTGTTATTACTTACATTCTGTAAGTGATTTTTAATTTTTCAATAAAGATTTGCACAGTCAAGTGGCAGCAAACTCTTCTTACCAAGCAAATTTGACAGAATGCAGATGGAAGCAATCAGACGGTTTGATAATTCTCCCATTCAGTATTCACCTACACTTTACTGAATATATAATGAGTTATAATCAGTGTAAACAATGTATAAAGGAAATGTAAAATCTCAACAAAAGATGCAGATCAATATGAAGATTCATGCAAGCTTTAAGAAATTTTGAATCACAGACCTGTCCACAGATGGGGGTGTCAGAAAATTTAACTAAAACAGATCCTGTCTGCTGCCTTGTTCTGTTATTCAGCAGATTATTTCCATCTCTATTCACAACAAAAACCAATACAATTCTCGACGAAACTACCACATGCTTCAATGTATTTCTTTTTTATTTTGAGTCTCAAAATGAAAAATTTCACCACAGCTGTGTATTCCAAAAAGGAAAAAAAGCTATTATTAAGTCATTGCAAAATTGCACCTTCTTCCCTCCTTGATTATAGCTCCTGTAGAACTTTTCACTCACAACTCTTTGCAAACATGGGTGACTTTGTTTAAATCAGATAACAAATGTGAAGTTTTAAAATACATTCCACTGGAAATTCATATTTTACTTTAATTTTTTGAATGTTTATTTCCTTATCAGCAAAAACTAATTCACTTTATTAGGAAAAATTCTCAAATCTAAACTGAGATTTTTGGTCAGGTTCCAGTCAGTTCTGTCAGTAATCAGATTCAGATTTTCAGTCTTGCTTTGTCTGGCAAATCTCAAAGCTGAGCTCCCATATCCCCTTCTAGACCTTAAAGGAATGCTGTCCCTACACTGACTATACTGTTTTGGGCCATTCTCCCAGTCTCTGCTAATACTCTTTTTATTTAACTTTTTTAATAAGACTACTTTACAAAGCACTGTTTTTATTTAATGAATGTCTCTTTTTCCACTCATTCCAGGGGGTGTGACAGACAAGAACAGAATACAG